ATCGTATTATTTATTTTGATAATAATAAAGAAGTCATTCGAGTTGATTTTTACTGTTTACATGTTCAGTAAAATTAGATAGAAGTCCTTATGATATGTATTTGTAATAGTGATTGATTGAAAGATGTGAGACAAACACTAATGCATATAAATGATATCAATAAATGTCCCAAGTCGTAGCATTATCAAGAATGGACATTGGTAAACGTAGATAGACTTATGAGTGTTATGCTCATGCTATATGATAGCAGTAGGAGATCTCACATCTATTGGCATAGTGATGCCAATGCAAGTGCTTAGGTGATTTATGTTAGTGAACATGTCACCTGGACTTGACTCGCCATGGGAACCCATTTGGTTTTAGTTTATAGGAATCTCATACGAGATGGGTACAAATGGTCCTTAGACTTGAAGTCATCATAGTTATCTCATTAGAGGACTTATGCACTTTGACACTCATTTCGATGGACCCATTGATGGGTTTCACGTGGACGATTCATTGGGTATATTAGGAATCTAATGGAGGTAGGTGTATGACTAAAGTAGGACATGTCATTCCTTATATGATAAAGGAGTTATCACATTGCACTTTGATAAATTTACGCTCAAGAAATATATGGCCATAGTAAGAGTACACAATAGAGCATAGTTGGTTTACTCTAGGAGCTAAGACATTTGAGAATCAAAGAAAACCTATGTGATCATAATCGAACAAGACTAATAACCAAGCTCAAGATTACACTATGATAATTTGACATCGGGATTGAATTGTATAATAACCATGCTCGTGAAAGATAATAATGGATTAATTAATCTTCCTAGAGAATTGGATAGTCATGATGCCTTCATTGGAGGCTAATCTTGATTTATGTATCAAGAAATAAAAGAGGAGTCTTTTATTCTTGATACATTGCCAATATATTTAGGAGCCTATTGAGTCACACGTGTAAGTTTAAGTATTCACATTACAAATGAGAAGCAATGATATTAGAAAACGTTTCCAATTATAAAAGTTTCATATTTTGGAAAGAGTTTCCATAATGGAAAGTTTTCTATTTTAGAAATTTGTTTCCTAATTTGGAAGTTAGCTTCAAATTTGGAAATAAAGAACCAAAAGGACAGGAATTTCCTAATTTAGGTTAAATGGTATTTTAGGAAATTATTTTCTAATGAGGATCATGCCAAAATAATCTAAGAATATTTATTTAGATAGTCCAAATAAATTAATCGGGCTAAAATAGTTTTAGCCCATTAGATTTAATTAAAAGCTTAAAGATAATTTTGGTGGGAGGATAAACTTAAACCTTATTGGATAAGGATGAATGTTTTAATGATAAACATCAATCTTATTAGATATGGTTGAATGTTATAAAGATAATGATCAAATAGCCCACATATAAAATAACTCATCATCATTGGAGGATAAGGAAGCAACAACCTAGAGTCCTTTATGGACTCATAGTCGCCACTTTCCTTTTCATTGGAGGACAAGGAAACTCTCCTATAAATATATAGGAGGGAGAGAAAAAATTGGGCTAACATAAGGAAAAAAAAAGGAAGGAAAAATTAGGCCAACCCAAAAACTCATATAGGGCATACGGCCAAGAGAGAAAATAAAGGAGAAAATAGTTTTCTCCTAAATCCTAGCTAGAAATATTCTTTTCTTCTCTTTTAAAGTTGTCACAAAATTGTCCGGGATTGATTTATAGACGAAGTAGAAAATTGAAAAAAGGTAGAGCTAGCACCCTATTAATTTTGAGTACTTTTTTGTGAATACTTGGGTCGTATGGATCATTAATAGAGGCTGGACACTTAGACGACTAATAAAAAAAGGAATTTAGATCTACACTACAAGAGGTAATCTTTTACTTTTAGCTTAATATTCATGTATGTATGATTAGTAGATTCAATGGCATGATATTAGGCCCTTAGATAGAGGAAACTTTTTATTTATTTTGCACCTCCATAAGATGCTTTAACAAGCCCTTTTCAATCCAAGATAGCTTGCTTAGGTTTTTACATTCCGATGTAAGAAAAAAAATGGTGATTAGCAAAAAATGAGAAAATTATTAGTCGGTGTGTTGTTTGTCGTCTTTTATGACATCGAATCATGAGTCTTCATCAAATAACCTCGAGGAAAAAATAAATAAAATCAAGATTTTTTCTAGCAACATTATCCTTCAAAACCAAAATTTTAAAATACTTTCTACCGAAACCTCTTTTCATTATCCAAAATAGACTTAACATGTGACTAGTTACCTTCAAACACGCCAAAAGTTAGTTTCCATGCAATCTTTGCATAAGCTAAACACCTTTTTGCTGGCTCAACCCCAACCTTGTTGAGCAAATTCCATCATAGCATTTGAATGTCATGTTTTGATTTCGATCAATCAACTTAAACATTTTTTAGAATGAAAGTACTTTCATTAGAATTTCTTTACATTTCATTCAAATAATCTAAATTGTTTTAAGAGAGTCATTCAAGTATATGACTTGACCCAAGAAAATCAAATGTCTATTCAATGACCTTTTTCAAAAGATGACAAAATTTTAAGATCAATTTATAAATTATGATGCAAACATCGGAAGATAGGTAGTTAAACACACGTCATGATTTTGTCGAGAGAATGAAAAATGTTTGATCTTGATCAACACTTGGGGGCATCTTATAGCTCAAATTAAATGATAATCCGAGAATACTTAGGAGTAAGACTAAGGATCTAGCAACTCCAATGTAGTTCAACAAACTGCTCGGATGATGGTATCACATACTAGTTAGAGGAATAGTGGCTAGACAGTAAGCTTATGAGCATAAATCAAAGTAGTCAAGGCCATCAAGCTAGGGGAAAAGAGCAATCTTGAGGAAGGATAATGACTTAGTCAAAGTTTGGTAAGCAATCGAGTTATCGGGTATGGTCTCATAGGGGTAGACCATAACATGTGAATGGTCGACCATCCCTAAAGTTTAGAAAAGGCCATCTATTTTAGTTATTTGAGAAAAAGTAAAAAAAAAAAAAAAAGACTGAAGTTCATAATGAATAGTGATCCAAGCCTTAGGGGAAAGAAAATCTTTAATAGTAAAACATAATACAATCCAAGTATAGAAGTCTAGAGTGAGGCACCAAGGGAGTTGAGTGCTAACAAAGTGGGGCGACTTATGTTTCTCTCAAGTAAGGAAATAATCATTGCTATCAACCTTATTGATACATTTTAGTAACTTCAACTCATGTGAAAAGAAGAAACAATCATTCGAGTTCAAATTTCAAAAAAAGAAAGAGCTCACATTCGCCCACACCATCCGAGTTTGGACGAGTTGCCAAATTTAAACTTGTTATTTAGGTAAGGTCACCTTATAATAGATCATTCTTCTAGGTAAGGTTTTCTATCAATCATTTTGATATTTAGACGAGATCACCTAACTTAGCTTAATTTTCGAGCAAGGTTGCCTCACTTCGTTCATCGTTTAGGTAGGTTGCCTAATGATTTCTAATTTTCGAGCAAAGTTGCCTAATTTAGTTCATCGTCTTAGACATGGTTGTCTAACGATCAATCATTTTTTAAGCATAATTGCCAAATTTCTTAGGTAGGGTTACCTAAGCTCATTTGCAAGCAAGGTCGCCTATTTAGTCACTACCTTAGGTAAGGTTACCTAACACTCATTTCCGGGTAGGGTTAACAATTTAGTCTATGATTTAGGCAGAGTTGCTAAACGATCTTCTTATTTTCTAGGCAAGGTTGCCTAGGTTTGTTCATTATTCTATATAAGGTTGCCTAACGATCATTTGATTTTTAAGCGGGGTTGTCTATTTAGTCAATAGTTTCGGTAAGGTTACTTAATGCTTATTTTTCAAGCAAGGTTGCCTAATTTAGTTCATTGTTCTAGGTAAGGTCGCCTATCGATCATTTCATTTTTAGGTAGGGTTGTCTATTTAATTTATCATCTAGGTAGGGTTACCTAATGCTCATTTCTAGGATTAATGAATTTAGTTTATCACTTAGGTAGGGTTACCTAACACTCATTTATAGGTAAGGTTGCCAAATTTAGTTTATTGCTTAGGTAGGATTACCTAATGCTCATTTGAAGGCATTGTTGCCAAATTTAGTTTATTGCTTAGGTAGGGTTACCTAATGCTCATTTTTAGATAGGATTAAAAGTTTAGTTTATCATTTAGCCGAGTTGCTTAACGATCTTCTTATTTTTCGAGCAAGGTTACCTAATTTTGTTCATCGTTTTAGGTAAGTTGCCTAACAATCATTTCATTTCTAGGCAAGGTCGCCTATTTAGCTAGTAGCTTAGGTAAAGTTACTTAATGCTCATTTTTCGGGCAAGGTTGCTTAATTTAGTTCATTGTTCTAGGCAAGATTGCTTATTGATCATTTCATTTTTAGGCGGGGTTTTCTATTTAGTTTATCACTTAGGTAAGGTTACCTAATACTTATTTACAAACAAGTTGTCAATTTAATCAATCGTTTAGGTAGGGTTACCTAATGCTCATTTATAAACAAGATTACCAAGTTAGCCCATCATTCAAGTAGGGCTACAAAATGATCTTCTCATTTTTCAATCATTTAGGTAAGGTTTCCTTCATTTCTTTACAAACTCGCTAAGCAATACCTATTGAAGTTCATGCTTCAATTGGTATTTTCTCGTGAACATTGTGAAAAGGGGAAAACTATCATATCATAATTTTTTTTTAGTCTTATTCTTAGTCCACTTTTTTTTCACGTTAGTAAAAATAAAAAAAAAATCAATAAAAAAATTAATTAAGGAAATTATGATAATAAAAAAATTATTTGTTTGTTTGAAAATTATATACAAAATAGAATATATATATATATATATATATATATATATATAAAGCAAAGATAGAGGGACGAGTTCTCCTCCATTTCCTTTTCAATTTTTCAACATCTTCTAGCTACCTTAGACAATTCCTTAAATCAGTTTGCTACCCATGCTAGAAGCCTCTTTGATGCAATTCCTACATAATCTTCCTCCACTTACGACCTCCACCGATACCATCCTACTCCTGCAAAATCCAAACAACTTGTTTTTCCCAAGTCAATAATTTCAGCCTGCTTTACAAGACAAAATCTTCCTCCACTTGCAGCTTTTCCCCCTATTGCATCCATCTCCTTAATAGCTCGTAACCTCTTTCCCAAGTTAACAATTTCGCAACCCATAAACTCAACCTTGCACGACCTCAATTTATCCCGCAATTGCCACCCACCTATAACTACCACTACTATTGTCATTTCCACAAGCACCACCCTACAACGTCCCCTACATTCAATAGTCTCACCGCTGTCATAACACATAACCACGAGTTTAGGAAGCATGAATTAAACTCAATCGAAATCAATTGGAGTTTCAATTTGGGGTTTAAACCCCGAATTGAAGCTCAATTGACTTCAATTCAATTTTAGGGTTCTTGAACTTTTGAACAAATTGAATTAGGGGCTTTGCTAAAATTGAGTCCATTAAGGTTTGAATTAACTTGATTTAACTAGAAATCAAGCCAATTAGTTCGATTGAAATAAATTTTTGAAAAATTGAAAGGCTAAGGTTCGATCAAATTGGGGAAGAATTTTATGCAATTGATTTGGGGGTTTTTGATTTAGTAAGGAAAGAAGGAAAGGAAGGGAAAAAAGAAGATAGAAAAAAGGAAAAATTAGGTGGCCATAGATAAACTCTCACTGGTTCATCCATGGCAATAGCCAAATTCAAAGAAAAAGAGAGAACGAGACGGATTCGAGAGAAGAGGGAAAGGGAAAGAAAAAGAAAGAAAAGAAAGAAAAGAGAAGAAAGAGAGAAAGGGAAGGAAAAAGAAAGAGCGAGAGGAAGAGAAGGAGGGATGAAGCGAGTCATCCATGGAGTTTTTAAGTGATGTGGGTTAGGCTTAGCCCAATGCATATGTGAATGAGTCGGATCGCCCCTTTTTTTTTTTCAAAAAAAATTCCTTATGTCCAATCCACCTCTCTCCCTCAAAGAAATAATAAAAGGGGTTGGACGAGCCTAACCCCTCCCCTCTCAAAAAAAAAAAGAAAAAGAAAAAGAAACAAGAAGAAGAAAATAAAAAAATAATTGTTTTTTTTTAATGCATGTTTGTAATTAATTTAAGTATTAAATCGTCTATAATTATTTAGTTAATGGAATTTTAATCCTAAGTTCATTTATGTATGTTAGTTAGTTTATATTAATTTAGAATTTGTTATTGTATTATTTTGTAATTGTTTTAATTTAACCTTGAATTTATTTTATACATGTTTGTTATGGATTTAAACTTTAGTATTTAAATTTTCTTTACCTAATTAATGTAGCTTAATGTATTTGCTTAGCGATTAAGTTCGGTAAGTAATGGATGGAGGACTATCAAGTCTGCTAATTCTTTATGGACTAATGACGATCTTCGTCCAAATTAAAAAAAAATAATAATAATAATTAAAAAATAAAAGAAAAATAAAGAAAAAAAATCATAAAATTTTTAACAAAGTCTCCTATCCGATAGGGACTATTGTTAGCCAAAAATCATTTTTAATAAACAAGTGTTCTCCGACATATCGGTTGTGTCGAGACTTAAAAAAGGAATTTGATGTTTGAACCGATGTGTCTCCCGATGGAAGGGGTCCGGCGATCGTTTCAATATGATGCCATGCTCAAAAATAAAAAAATTAATTTGGCTTGAAATAAAGGACTTAGGAAATTGGAGTTTCAAAATTGAAAATGATTTGGAAAAAATACTTTTGGAGATAAATTTAGGACTAAGCTAGACGTGGTACCTTTTTTAGGAAAGGGTGCTTTGGGTGATTAAATATCTTCCCAAAAGCGTAACCAACTCCTTTACCCTAGAATCTCCGAATTAGTCACTATTTTAGATTGCTAGTTTCTTCAATACTAGGTGATGACTTCAAATTCTATAAATAAATTCAGCAAATAAATAAAATCTTAAACTAAAGTGAGATTTTTGGGAGTCCGGTTCGACGTCGGTAGTGACAAATTATATGATAAGCTGTTAGGATTGGTGCCCAAGATCCAACCATGTTTGGATGGGCCCAAGTTAATATATTATTGTGTCATTTAATAAAGAATTTATTCTATCAATTCTTATGCTTACATGTTGATAAATTCATCGGACTTAGGTAGAAGTCCTTATGATATGCATTTACAATAGTGATTGATCGAAAGATATGAGACAAACACTAATGTGTATAAATGATATCATTAAATGTTCCAAGTCTTAGCATTGGCAAGAATGGACATTAACGAATATGGATAGACTTATGAGTGCTATACTCATGCTATATGATAGCAGTAGGAGATCTCGTACCTATTGACATGGTGATGGCAAAGCAAGCGCTTAGGTGATTTATGTTAGAGAAGATATCACTTAACTTGACTCGTCATGAGAACCCATTTGGTTTTAGTTTATGGAAATCTCATATAAGATGGGTATAAATGGTCCTTAGACTTGAAGTTATTAGGGTTATCTCATTGGAGGATTTAAGCACTTTGAGACTCATTTTGATGGACCCATTAATCGAGTTGCACATAAGCTATTCATTAGGTGCATTAGGAATCTAATGGAGATAAGTGTATGACTAAGAAAGGACATGTCATTCCTTACATGCTAAAGGAGTTATCACATTGCACTTTGATAAATGTCCGCTCAAGAAATCTGTGACCATAGTAGGAGTATACCAACGGACCATATTTAGTTTACTCTCGGACCTAAGACTTTAGGAATCAAAGAAAACTTATGTGATCATAATCGAACAAGACTAATAACCAAGTTTAAGATCACACTTGTGATAAGTTGATATGAGGACTTAATTATATAGTAACCATGCTCGTGAAAGGTAATAATGTATTAACTAATCCTTCTAAAGAATTGGGTAATCATGATGCTTTGCTAGAGGCCAATCTTGATTTATGTATCAAGAGATAAAAGAGGAGCCTATTGAGTCATATGTATAAGTTTAAGTATTCACATTACAAATGAAAAGCAAAGATATTGAAAAATGTTTTCAATTATAAAAGTTTTCTATTTTGGAAAGAGTTTTCAAAATGGAAAGTTTTCTATTTTAGAAATCAGTTTCCTAATTTGGAAGTTAGCTTCACATTTTGGAAATAAAGAACCTAAATGGAAAGGAGTTTCCTAATTCAGAGTTAAAGGGTATTTTGGAAAATTACTTCTTAATATGGACCCTGTCAAAATAATCTAAGAATATTTATTTCAATAGTCCAAAGAAATTAATTAGACTAAAATAGTTTTGGCTCATTATATTTAATTAAATGCTTAGAGATAATTTTAGTAGGAGGATAAACATCAACCTTATTGGATAAAGATGAATGTTTTAAAGATAAACTTCAATCTTATTGGATAAGGTTGAATGTTTTAAAGATAATGATCAAATAGTCCGCATATAAAATAACTCCTCATCCTTGGAGGATAAGGAAGCAACGACCTAGAGTCCTTTATGGACTCATAGTTGCCATTTTCCTTGTCCTTGGAAGACAAAGAAAACTCTCTTATAAATATATATGAAGGAAAGGGAAAATTTGGCAAAGAAAAAAAGTAGAGAGAAAATTTGGCCGATCCAAAATTGACTTAGAGGCACATGGCTAAGAGACAAAATAAAGGAGAAAATAGTTTTCTCCAAAACCCTAGGAAGAAATATTATTTCCTTCTCTTTTAAGGTAATTACAAAATTGCTCGGGATTGATTTCTAGAAGAAATACTTAATAAAAAAAGATGGAGCTAGCACCCCATTAATTTTGAGTGCTTCTTTGTGGATACTTGGGTTGCGTGGATGATCAATAAAGGCCGGACACTTAGATGGCTAATCAAAGAAAAGGAATTTAGATCTGCACTACAAGAGATAATCTTTTACTTTTAGCTTATTATTCATTCATATATGATTAGTAGATTCAACAGACATGATCTTGGGCCCTTAGATGGAGAAAATTTTATTTATTTCGTACCTCTATAAGATGCATGATCCTTCAATAACCATACTCGGTGAAAGGTAATAATGGATTAACTAATCCTCTTAAAGAATTGGTTAGTGATTATACCTTACTAGAGGCCAATCTTGATTTATGTATCTAGAAATAAAAGAGAAGTCTTTTACACTTGATACATTACCAACGTATCTAGGAGTCTCTTGAGTCACACACATAAATTTAAGTATTCAGATTATAAGTGAGAAGCAAAGATATTGGAAAAAGTTTCTAAATATAAAATTTTTATTTTGGAAAGGGTTTCCAAATTGGAAATTTTTCTTAAATGGGAAGTTTCCTAAAATGGAAATGTTACACCCCTAACCTAATAGCTAAAAGGTTGAGAATATTACCACCATTAACCTACATTTGAAGTGCAATGAATACAAGCTAACAAGGAACTGTGACTTAATCTTAATGTTTAATGTCAAATCTATCTTAGAAATCTAATATTGGTTTGGTAGGTCCTATACTTTAATTTAAAAGATGTTATCAATTTTTCCCATTTGATCTATTTGTACGCATGCTTGAAACTAGATTACTAGATTTGTGGTTATTTGCTAGTTCAAATCCTTTCTTTATTAACTATTGTAATTCATTGAGATATAATTTCTTATTATCAATTATTATTATATTACTTATTCTCTTTCCTATTTACTATTCTTTTTATTTAACGGTTAATTAAGAAATTCTCTTACATATTCAAGGATGCTAGCATTCGAGTGAAAAATTCAAAGTAACTATACTAGTATCACTATACTTGTCATTTTACTACCAAGTACTTTGGTTCATATAGGTTACTAATTTACATACAAAACTACTTATATACCAATTATTAAAAAAATTGATTGATTTATTTACTAACTACATTATTTTAAAGGACTACACTAACTTATTCATTACTTCTAATCTAACATAACACGAGTCGGCTAGTTCTAGGACATCAAGATAATAGCTAAGTACCGTAAATAAAATCACATGTAGTATGCCCACCTCGATCCCAAAGCCTCATTCAAGGTATAACTGTCCGGTGCATTCCTCAAAAATCAACTTCATAATGAAGCAAGTCATAATACCTTATTTATCTACACCACAAGGAACTATATGAGCTATAGCCCAGTAAGTTAACGTATGCATGTAGTATGCGTGTATGTATAAATTACTAATATATACATAAGAAATCCTTTTTCTCATGTCATAAAACATTTCATAAGCAATTTGAAAATCCTTTTTCTATCTCTCGGACATGTCTAGTTTAGGTAATTTAGGGTTTTCATTACATATGTCTAGCGAACCGGACCTATCTATGGATGCGCCC